TCTATCATATATCTCTCTCAACTCTCTTTCTCTCTATCATCTATCTATCTACCTATCTACCATCTATCAATATATGTCCGTCTGTCTCTCTCTCTACCTACCTACCTATCCATTCATCCATTTACCTCTATTTCTAGCTAACTAGCTACCTCTGTCTGACTGTCTGTGTGTGTGTGTCTCTCTCTCTCTCTCAACAAACACAACCTCTAAAGTAAATGATCCATTTCACAGGTTAAACAAACACGTCCTTTTACACCTTAATTTGCTTCCTCCGAGCAAAGCAATCCTTTAATTTTTTTTAAAAAAACCCTATTAATTCTGTGACTTGGCCTTTGGTTCTTCAACAAACAATGATGAAATCAACCATGTTCATGAACAATATCAGAAGTACGGTCCCTTATTTTCCCCCCCAATATTTTTATTTTTCCTCCAGGGAAAATAGCCTTTAAAAGCAGAGGTTTTTTCCCTTCGCCCGTGTCGTTTTCAGATAAGGCCACGGTTCTGTTTTGCTTTGTAATTTCATTTTTCGCTTTGTTTTCCTTTCCCCCAGTTGTTAAATTCGGGGCAACGGCACCTGTTATTCTGTGAGACCCTGACAGAGACGGTTTATGGCGACCGAGGTCAACTAATCAAATCCAAGGAACGCAAGGTGTTTCTTTTGAATGACGTCTTAGTGTGCGCCAACATCAACTTCAAGTGAGTGACTGTCAGAGTTGTATGTCACACGGGGAGGTTGTGACCTGGCACATGTCGGAACACAAATAGAAATTTAAATTTCAAAGGGGTTCTAGTGCCCTTCCTTGGCCTTCTCGGGTCAAATTTTGGCCTCTAGAAACAGGTCAGGATTTCCTGCCTTGCGTAGAATTATTGGCAGACTCCGCGAGAATTATTCCTTGCTCAAATGTGGGGGAGAAGGTCTTGTAATTCCAGAAGTCTGGTGCATTGTTCAAAAAAAAATGGAAAATGTTTATTTCCAGAGTCAGAGGCTTTATGATTGGGCCTCCAACCTTGGCAACCTTCTACCATTGCAACAGAGAGAATATTTTAACTTAGTATTTTAATCTAGATACAAGGACAATTTTTCCCCGAATGCCATCACTCTGCTAAATAAATAATTCCCTCAACACTGTCCAACTACTTAGTAACTACTTAGTATTACTATTCTTCTTCTCATCCTTCCTATTACCTAACTCTTCCCACTTATGTCTATAACCATGTTGTTTGTATCTTTACAATTTATATTGTTTTATTTGTTTTCCTAGTATGTTTTGATTACTTATTAGTAACTTTATGACTATCTTTACAATTTATATTGCTTTATTTGTTTCCTAGTATGATTTGGTAACTTATTGGTAACCTTATGACTATCTTTATAATTTAGATTGTTTTACTTGTTTCCTAGTATGTTTTGATTGCGTATTAGTAACCTATGACTAGATTCTAGATGAATGTATTTTATTTATTTTTCTTATGTACGCTGAGAGCATATGCACCAAAGACAAATTCCTTGTGTGTCCAATCACACGGCCAATAAAGAATTCTATCCTGTTACGTATGGTTTGCCAATTGCACAGTGGCAGATAGGACAGCGCTCCAGAGGGTTAACATCATTGCCCAGAAGATCATGGGTTGCCCTCTCCCCTCTTTGGAAGAGCTTTATAGCTCCCACTGCCTTAAGAAAGTTCAAAACATTCTCAAAGATCCATCTCATCCTGGGCACGCTTTTTCTTTTTTGGAACTATCACCATCTGGCAGATAGTATCGGATAATAAAAACAAGGACAATTAGGCTGAAAAACAGCTTCTATCCCAGGGCAGGAGCTCTGTTGAATTCTACTGCATAGTGCAATATTAATGCAATATCAGGGGTTTTCAGTTCAGCTGTATAGAATGCGAAGGATGTGCGTTTGTGTTTTATTTCTGATAGTTATAATATACACCGAAGATGGCATTTAATTTCATTCTACGTGGTGCAATGACAATAAAGTAAACTGACTTTTAAGACTTGTGGACTTCAACTCCCAGAATTGCCCTTCGTGGCAGGGGAATTCTGGGAGTTGAAGTCCCAAGTCTTAAAAATTGCCAAGGTTGGAGTCGCCTGCTTCATATGGGGGAGGAACACCCAAAACCAAGAATGCAAACAGAAGCAAGAATTAACTTTGGGGGGGTTTGCATTAAATCCTTCAACTGCTCCAAACTGCCAAGGAATTTAATTTTTTTTTTTTTAAATTGTTTGGAGGAGAATTAAATGACGACTTTTCCTTTGATGTTTCTTTTTGTCAGGCCTGTGAACACTGGGTAGGATGCGAATGGCAGATCGGTGCAGTGATTGTGTGGTGAAATGCACAATGTGCAACATGCATGCTATTGTAGCATTTTTGGCTTGATTTATGAGGCTGTGGCGCCCAGCAGTGGATGCATTTTGCATGATTGTGTTTTTTAAACAATATTCCAGTTCAGGGGGCGGGGGGAGATTTTTCTACAGGTACTTCTCAACTTACAACCGTTCAAAGTTACAACAGCACTGAAAAAATCGGATTTGCAACCAGCCTTGCACCTATGGGCATCACGTTCACCTGATCAAAATTCAGGTGCTTGTCAACCAGGATGTATTTCAAACATCCAGGGCGCATCTGATCTCTACTTGCCACCTTCCTAGCCAAGTTTCCGACATGCAAAGCCAGATTTGGGAAGCCAGATTCATTTAACAACTGCAATGATTTGCTTAACAACAGTGCAAAAAGGATAGTAACATTGGAAGCCATGGCAATAGTACTTAGACTTACACACTGTTTCACGGTGCTTTTACAGCCCTCTCTAAGCAGTTTACAGAGTCAGCCTCTTGCCCAGGGGTGGGATTCAATTTTTTTTTTACTCTCAGTCCTGTGGGTGTGGCTTGGTGGGCGTGGCAGGGGAAGGATACTGCAAAATCTCATTCCCTCCCCACCCCATTTAACCTGCTTTCCAGCTCCGTTCTCCTGTGCAGGGCAACCAAAGGAGACCCAGCCGATCAGCTGGGACTCAATGGGAGGCAGAGAAGAGATGGGGGCGGGCCCAGTCAGAGGTGGGGTTGGCCGGTTCTCTGAACAACTCAAAATTTCCACTACCGGTTCTCGAGAACCGGTCAGAACCGGCTGAATATCACCTCTGCTCTTGCCCCCCAAACAATCTGGGTTCTCACCCCGGAAGGATGGAAGACTGAGCCAACCTTGAGCCAGTCGGTCAGGATCGAACTGCTGGCTGTGGGCAGAATTAGCCTGCAATACTGCATTCTAACCAGAAGGAAGGAAGGAAGGAAGAAAAGAAGGAAGGAAGAAAAGAAGGAAGGAAGGAAGGAAAGAAGGAGGGAAGGA